ATAAGATATTAATCTTATATATATTAAAATGTAGAATACAAATAGTAAATACAAATAGTATTGCGTACAATTTCTTATATAATCAATATTATATAAGAAATTGTTTGAAACTTCTTATATGCAAAATAAATAAGCAAGACCTAAAACAGGCACTAAAAATTTTATTTCTTGTATTTCTTTAATAAAAAAATTAAGAATTTTAAAACTCCTAATTTTTTTATAGAGGAGTTGCATACAATAAGTAAAAATGGTCTCTCAATAAACAACTCATCTTTTTTCTCAAAAGTGAAATGATGCTTGCTAGCATTATATACAGACTGCAAACACTCACTTGGTTGAAGTTGCCAACCAATGGGTAACACCTACAGTTAGAGGCAATCAATAAAAGAAGAACACAGCAAATCAAGTGACTAAAAAAGTTAAAACAGTAGTATCAGCATACTAATCAGCAATCCATTAAGCTTCAAAGCACAATTCAAAAACAAATTAACCCTTAGATTAAAAAAATGTAGAATGCATAAGAAAAATATGAGATTATTAGTCAATAAGTCACTTTAAATGGTCTGACATCAAAAAATTAACATGGTTTTGTTTTCAAAAAGTTGTGTTCAATAAACCTTTTTGTAGCACTTATGAAAGAAGCTGTGCACCAGGTGTATGTTATAGTTGTCATTTTCACTGATCTGGCAAAAGCCCTTTCTAGAAAAAAAAAATTCTTGAAGACTGGAAAAAAAGTCCTCCAGTCTTTAAGACTCCTACACAGACTTTAAAAAAATGAGATTAAAGAGGAGCTCTACACATATATCAAAGTATGGCTTTCAGGAAGGCAGCAAATAATCATAATCGGAAAACAAACCTCAAATTGGAAAAATGTAATTAGCAGCATACCACACAAGATCTGAGGATCATTACTGCTTGTTTCGTACACCAACATACTTGCAGAAAAATTTAAAAATCAGATCAAGCTTTTCACTGATATTAAGACATCATAAAATTAAAATGGGAGGCCAACCTCATGTAAGCAGACATAGAAAAGCAGTTGAATGTTCCCAACACTAGCCAATGAGTATCAATATTGAGACATGCAAAGTGATGCATACTTACCAAGAGAGAAAATATCAATACAAGAGTGTTTTACGACAGCCTTCCACTTGCAAGATTTAAAACTTAACACGCAACTTATGGGATTGTTCCATATCACGATGGGGGCATTTGATGGTGCTGAAGTTTGCGAGTTAATAGATACTTTCATACTGTATCAAATTTCACAGCATTATAACAAAGAAGATTTCAGCATGAATCGTGACAACAGTCTTGCAGTTTTTAAAAACAAAAACTGTCAGCAAATGGATAAAATCAAAAAGCATATAATAAATATTTTTAGAAGAAACAATCTTTGAATCACCATTCAATTTAACATAAAAATATTTAATATTAAGGGTGTCCCAGATAACATTTTTTTATTATCCGACCAGATATTGAATATCCGGATATTTAAAAATTGTCCAACCAGTTATCCAGCTGGATAGTGTAATTCAAATCCTAAAATATATATTTTATTATGACAAAATATACCCTTTCAAATGTCAAGTTTTGTTGGGAAGCTTTTTGAAATTGATGATAGCTGTGATTTCACAGCAATATGCATTCTGTGTGGAAAGCAGATAAGCAGGGGATGTAATAAATCTGGTCAGAAGTCAATTTGCACAACTCCACTGCATAATCACTCAAAAAAAAAAATCATTGTAAATTGTATAAAAAGGAAAAAAATTAATATCAAGCAATAATCGAGCAGCCGTGTTGCAGTGGCAGTGCATGTACCTCAGAAACAAAAAATCTGTGGTAAAACAAATATAAATAAGTGAAAATGATGTATTTATTGCGCATATATAATTTTAGAAGTATTTTAATAATAATAATAATAATAATAATAATAATAAAAATATTGAATAGAAACCATTAATATTATGTTATTTAAAAATATAACATTTCTAGATTTCTTTCAATTTTCAAATAACATTAACATGTTAAGAAAGATGATAAATAACAGTTATTATCCTGCCAGATATCGAATACTGAATAATACTCCTATCTGGCCTGGATATCCAACCGGATAGTTTATCCAGACACCTCTAGTTAATATCCTTAATATAATGTTAAATCTAAATAACAATACATTCCAACCATATTGTAAACCTGATAATAAAATAAGATATACCCACTCTAATTCTAACCACCCTCTAAGCATAATAAAAGCAATCCCTCACAATACTAAATAAAGATTATGTCAATTAATAAAACTGTCTTTAAAAAGGCTACTCCATCATATGAAAAAACTTTTAAAAAAAATCGGGATACAAGACAAAGCTTATCTACCAACCACAATTAATTTCAAAATTTTGTACAATGAAAGCCAATTAAAAACTAAGCAATATAACTGCTTAGATAAAGCATTTTGCCAAAAATATTAGAGTTCACATTTGAAAACACAATTTCGAAAATTTTTGAATAAAACATAATTGATAAAAAATTTTTTTTCAGATTTCGTAAAAACTTTTGAAAACTGTTGAATAGCTAAAATAATTTCAAAAACTTAAATTTAATTTTGAAGTCATATTAATTTCGAAAAAAAAAAGTAAAAAGAAAAAAAGAAAAAAATATTTCAATTTACTAAATTAATTTCAAAATTTAAGTTGAATTTTGAAAAGTTATATAAATTTTGAAAAATTAAATAAATTTCGAAAAAAAAAAAGAGTTTTAAAAAGTTAAATTAGTTTCTAAAAAAAACATTTTGATTAGCTAAATTATTTTAGGAAAAAAAAAAAAAGTTTCACAAAGCTAAATAAATTTAGAAAAAAAAAAAAGAACTTTGATAAGTTAATTAGTAAATAAAAAAAAAGGATTTTAATTAAACTAATTTAAAAAAAAAAAAAAAGAGTTTCGAAAAGTTGAATGTCTGTTTGCGCATTCAGTGAACACGAACGTTTACAAAAGAGAAAAGTACGTGCAATATTCAACTGTTGGGGAGTAAATGCAGAGAATTGTCTAAAATCCAACTAACTTTTAGGATTCTGCCTTTTTCTTTACCCTCGAAATTTATTTTAATCTTAAAAATAGTTTTAAACCTACAACAGCTAATACACTTGGTTTAACAAAATTATAGGCACAGGTTAAATTAGGGATAGAACTTTTATTTACTTTAAAGTAAGTTATTTTAAAATGTAAAATATTAAATATATTTACAATTAAAATTAAACTACTAAAAAATAATATTAATAATTATTATATTGCATCTAAAACTTAATAGTAAAAGTAATTTACTTTTACAAATAAAAGTAATTAACATAAGTAATTAACATAAAAAAGTTACTTATAAATGAAAATTGCTTGCGACAGTAAGTCATAAAAATGTTATTTAGATGTTACTTATATAAATTTTTTTTAAACTTTAATACATCTTATTATCATCGTTTTTTTCATATGATTTTGTTACAGCTGGTATAATCCTGCAAATGTTAAATAATTTAGTTTTTAAAATATTTATTATCACCGGAAAAGCTTTATCATTGCGATTTTGATATATCTGAAAAAAACCATTACAGGCTTTAAATGATATATTTATTAAAGTTATAAAAATGTCCACATTTT